AAAAAAAAAAAAAAAAAAAAAAAAAAAAAAAAAAAAACTCCACCACACCGGGCCGGTGCGGATCACAGGACGGCTCGTCCGAACGGAAATAGCCGCGTGAGCCTTCGAACGGAATGGAAATGAGCGCCACGGAACCGAACGGAGTGGAACTGAATGCAACGGAACGGAGCGGAACGGAGCGGAACCGAGCGGAACGGAGAGACCGTTTGCAACACGATCGTGCTAATGTCCAACTGGCTAAGTTGTTGTGGCAAGATACCGGCTTTCCCGAATACAACGCGGGGTCATTACCGCAGTACTGAAGGGCGGTCCAAACACAACAATAACGACCCTGCGTTCTATTCGGGAGAAGACGGTACGAGGCCGACACACAATCTCAAGTGGTGAACGGTCATCGCAGGGGCGTGGGAGGAACATCGGCCATGGCTTAGTTGGGGGCCAGGGCAGTCAGTAGTGGCAGTCGTCGTCGTAACACTTAGTCTAGTAGTATTGCTGATAGTAGAGTGCTAGTTTAGTATAAGAGTAAAAGAGTAGTCGTAATATATAGTAGTAGTAGTAGTAGTAGTAGTAGTAGTAGTAGTAGGAGGAGGAGGAGGAGGAGGAGTAGCAGTAGTAGTAGTAGTGGTGGTACTAGTAGTACTAGTAGTTGCTGTAGTGGTAGCAGTAGTATCAGCACTAGCGGTCGCACTAGTCCTCCATCGACGTCGTCGTCTCCTCCTCCTCCTCCTCCACCTAGCGGACGAAAGCCACGTGGCACATCTTCTGCTGTCTGTCCTCCGCCTCCCCCTCTCTTCCCTCCCCCTCAAGCCATATCGTCATCCTCCACGTGGCGCATTTTGCCCAATGGTCTTCGCCCATTCGACCTCAGCCTGTTCTTCGCCGCATTGTCATTCCAAGAAGGCATTACCCCTCCCATTAGTAACAGCAGTTCGTACTCTTTTTTTTTTTTTTTTCGCAGTTCGTTCTCTCGCCAGGCACGGTCGCCAAGTGTGGCGTCGAAAAGCATTCCAAGCCGATGCTTTTTTTCAGACCCAAAAAAGGGTGACCTCCTTGAGATATATCAATTTGGAACTGACCCGCCCCAGCTAAATTCAGCGTTGTGAGTGTGGGTGACAAACTGTTTTGAGTCGGGGGCGAGCGGTGCGTTAGCGGAGGCGGCGGCGGTGGTAGGGCCGCGGGAAGTAAGCGGTCCGTGCTGTTGGCACGGACCGGCCTACCCTGGCGTCGGGGGAGAAGGGGACGGGCTTCGTGTTCGGCATTTCCTAGACCCCCCGTACGAAGTAGGAGTTCTGGACTAGGTCCAGAGGGGAACGAAGGAGCGGACTCTGCCAATGTGAAGAGGGGATGACGCGGAGGCGCTCCCTAGGCATCCTACCATCTGCGCCGAGACTGCAAACTGGCGCACACCTCTAAGACCTCGGTAAGGCCACGCGGTGATGCTGTCTTTTGAAGATCGACAACATGGTGTACGTCCTTCCCCACGCCAGAAGTCAAGAGCGCGACAGGTATAATTCTCCTTTCCACTCACTCATGGGGGTTGGGCTTACCCTATTTATTGAGGCTTTCTCACAATATACCAGGTTTAGATGTTGATGGTCCACCAAACTCGGCGTCAGATCCTCCCTGACGC